GTCCCTGAGACGTCACTGCCCAGACACTAAGGACACCTATGCACCCAACGCGGGGCTCAAACTCACGGCCCTGAGATGGAGCAGATGCTCTACCCCCCTGAGCCGGCCAGGTGCCCCTCTTCCAGCAGCTCTTAAACTGGGACCTGCAAGCCCTTGGGGACCCTGGGACCATTTCCAGACACCCCAAATGTCATAACTGTATCCGCAAGGAGACAGGACCTTTTCCTATATTGACAAGCACATTGATGGTTCAGGAGAAATGGTACCATCTCAGCAAGTTTTCTGGCTACTGTTTTTCAGCACTGCTGTTTTTAAAAAGTCAGTTCCACTTAACATCCTTGACGCAGTGACAATAATTTTATTAAATCCTAACCACTGAGTACGTATTCTGCGTGGTGAAACAAAAAGCATGCATAAAGGATTTCTGCCGCAAACCAAAGCACAGTGGGCTCTCCAGGAGCACTTGTCTAATTATGTCACGGTGTAACTCGGTGCTTTCTTCTGGAAACATCGTTTTGACTTGAAAGCATGCTTGGGAAACTAGTTACTAAGACCTGGGTGTTTGACAGATAAGGGTCTGTGGAATTTCACCAGGTGACCCTGCCCACTTCAAGAGAAACAACTGACGGCATTTGAGTCTAAAGATGAAGTTTGAGCTTTCGAGCAAAAATTAGAGTTTCCAAACCTATATCCACTACTATGCACTTGACAGTTTCCAACGCTGAACTTTTATGAGACTGTTAGTGATATACGGTGATTTTTTAAATAATAAATAAAATGTTTCAACATTTGGAAGATCTGCAAAACGCAGTTAAAGAATTTTTTCCGGGGGTGCCTGGGTGGCTCAGTTGGTCAAGCGTACAATTTCAGCTCAGGTCATAATCTCACAGTTCTTGAGTTCAAGCCCAGCATCGGGCTCTGTGCTGACAGCTTGGAGCCTGGAGCCTGCTTCAGATTCTGTGTCTCCCTCTCCCTCTGCCCCTTCCCCAACTCACGCCCTGGCTCTGTCTCTCGAAAATGAATAAAAATGTTAAAAAAAATTTTTTTTAAAGAATATTCTCCAAATAGCTAATACATGATGTTATAAAATCATGTATGGATTAGTGATCCATTCAGTGGGGAAGATAAGCAGATTGAATGTAACTGAGTATAAGAAACTTGAGGGGCTGTGTGATTCAGTCAGTTGAACGTCCAACTTTGGCTCAGGTCATGATCTTACAGTTCATGAATTCGAGCCACATGTTGGGCTCTGTGCTGACAGCTCAGAGCCTGGAGCCTGCTTTGGATTCTGTGTCTCCCTCTCTCTGTCTCTGTGCCTCCCTGACTCACACTCTGACTCCGTCTCTTAAAAATAAATAAATGCAAAAAAAAAAAAAAAAGAAAGAAATTCATTGATATGGTCCGATTCAACACTGCAACCTTGAAGAAACTACCACTGTAGAGTTTTGGTGTTATATTAAATACCGAAAATTAACTGCAAAGGCTACTAAAATATCCCTCCCTTTCTCAATTACTTACCTGTATGAGGCCAGATTTCCCTTACATACTTCAACCAAAACATTTATTTAAACCTTTCTCTTCAAAATGTTTTATAGGTTTCAGGGTAAGGTTATGAACATCTTTTTCTTTTTCAATTAAATACAATTAACATAGTGTTATGTTAATTTCAGGTGTACAATGATTCAACAATTCTACACATTTCCCAGTGCTCATCAAGGTAAGTGTGCTCCCAATTTCCTTTACCTGTCATATCCATCCCCCCATCCACCTCCCCTCTGCTAACCACCAGTTTGTTCTCTGTAGCTAAGTCTATTTTTGGTTTGTCCATTTGTTTTGTTCCTTAAATTCTACATATGAATGAGATCATATGGTTATTTGTCTTTCTCTCATTTACTTCATCCAGCATTATACCCTCTAGGTCCATCCATGTTGTTGAAAATGCCAAGATTTCATTTTTATGACTGAACAATATTCCATGGTATATATAGATCCCTCTTCTTTATCCTTCATCTATCTATGGACACCTGGGCTGCCTCCATTCTCGGCCACTGCAAATAATGCTGCAATAAACATAGGGGTGCATGTATCCTTTTGAATTCGTGTTTTCATTTTCTTTGGGTAAATACTCAGCAGGGGAATTACTGGGTCATATGGTGATTCTATTTTTAATTTTTGAGGGACTTTTCATAATATTTTCATAATGGCTGCACCAATTTGCATTCCAACCAAGGAGTGCACCAGGGTTCGTTTTTTTCCAACTCCTCATCAACACTCCTTGTTTGTGTTTTTTATTTTAGCCATTCCAATAGGGGTGAGGTGATATCTCATTGTGGTTTGGATTTGTACTTCCTCTGATGATGAGGGATGCTGAACATCTTTTCATGTGTCTGTTGGCCATTTGTAGGTCTATTTAGACGCTCTGTCCATTTCTTTAACTTAAAGTTTATTAGAGAGCAAACAAGTAGGGAAAGAGCAGATAAAGAAGGAGAGAGAGAATGCTAAGCAGGCTCTGCACTGTCAGTGTGGAGTCCAATGTGGGGCTCAAATTCATGAACTGTGAGATCATGATCTAAGTTGAAATCAAGAGTCGAACGCTTACCTGACTGAGCCACCCAGGTGCCCCTCCTCTGTCCATTTTTAATTGGTTTGGTTTTTGTTTGTGGTTTTTTGGTGTGTTTTTTTTTTTGTGTGTGTGTCGAGTTGCATAAGTTCTTTACATACTTTGGATATTAATCCCTTACCAAATATATCAGTTGCAAATATCTTCTCCCATTCAGCTGATCGCCTTTTTTATGGTGGCTAATCCTTTGCTGTGACAAGGCATTTTATTTTGGTGTAGTCCTAATAGTTTAACTTTGCTTTTATTTCCCTTGCCAGAGGAGACAGATATAAAAAAATGTTTCCATGGCCGATGTCAAAGAAATGGCTGCCTTTGTTTTCTTCTAAGATTTTTACGGCTCACATTTAGGTCGTTCATCCATTTTGAATTTGTTTTTCTATGTGGTGTGAGAAAGTGGCCCATTTTCATTCTTTTGCCTGTAGCTGTGCAGCTTTCCCAACACCAGTGTTTGAAGAGACTCTTTCCCATCATATATTCTTGCCTCGTTTGCTGTCGATAACGGACTATATGAGCATAGGTTTACTTCTGGGCTCTCTGTTCCATTGATCTGTGTCTATTTCTGTACTAATACCAAACTGTCTTGATTACTACAATTCTGTAATAAAACTTGAAGTCCAGAATTGTGACGCCTCCAGTTTTGTTCTTTTTTTCAAGATTACTTTGGCTATTTGAAGCCTTCTGGGGTTCCATACAAATTTTTGTATTATTTGTTCTAGCTCTGTGAAAAATGCTGGGGTTACGTTGACAGGGATCGCATTAAATCTGTAGATTGTTTTGGATAGTGCAGACATTTTAACAAGATTTGTTCTTCCAATCCATGAACATGGGATGTCTTCCCATCTGTTTGGTCTCCTTCAATTACTTTCATCAGGGTTTCACAGTTTTCAGAGTACAGACCCTTCACCTTCTTGGTTAAGTGTTATTCCTAGGTATTTTGTGACATTTGGTGCAATTGTAAATGGGATTATTTTTTTAATTTCTCTTTTTTGCTATTTCATTAATGTACAGAAATGCAACAGATTTCTGCATATTAATTTCATATTCTGCAACTTTACTGAATTCATTCACCAGTTCTAATAGTTTTTTGGTGCAGTCTTTAGGGCCTTCTCTCTATATATCATGTCATCTGCAAATAGATTTTCTTTGTTCAACCAAAACATTCATTTATTTTTTTAATTTATTTTTATTTACTTCTGAGAGAAGAGAGAGAGACAGACAGACATCGTGAGCAGGGGAGGGTCAGAGAGAGAGGGAGATACAGAATCTGAAACAGGCTCCAGGCTCTGAGCTGTCAGCACAGAGCCCAACGTGGGGCTCGATCCCACGAACCATGAGATCATGACCCGAGAAAGTCGGACGCTTAACCAACTGAGCCACCCAGGCGCCCCCCAAAACATTCATTTAAACCTTTTTCCCCCCTCTGAGATGTTTTATAGTTTTCAGTGTAGATGTCTTGAACATCTTTTAAGATATATTGCTAGGTATTTTATGGTTTTGGTGTTACTGTAAATGGACTTTTAATTTTCCAATTGCCTGCCACTGGTATTTAGGTATATAAGCACCTAACAGTCTTCAGACCAAAAAAGTTAAAAACCAGTTAACTATTATAATAATTTAGGAAGCACTTAATTCTGGCGAGATATGCAGAGCAGAACTGAAGCTTATTCTTGGTCAATGTTAAAATGACTTCCATATGTTTTTAAAGTACTAGATCATTCTTTGTCTTCTTAAAGTCATAATTACCAAAGATTTCCCCAAGTATATACAAAGTGCACAGAACAATGAACATTTACATACCCAGTGTCAATATCAGCTCACATCCAGTCTTGAGCTTTGTCTCCACTCACTTTACCGTTCCTGTTTCATTTTTTTTAAATGTTTTTATTTTATTTTGAGAGAGAGAGAGAGAGAGAGAGAGAGAGAATACACAAGTGGGGCAGGGGAAGAGAGAGGGAGACACAGAATCTGAAGCAGCTCCAGGCTCTGAGCTGTCAGCACAGAATCCGACGTGGGGCTCAAACTCACAAACTGTGAGATCATGACCTGAGCTGAAGGCGGACGCTTAACTGACTGAGCCACCCAGGAGCCCCTTGGTTGTTGTCTTTTATGAAAATCAGCACGCAGGGACAAGATTGTTAGCTGACAGCAATTTATACCCCTACAAGAAATCTAGTGAGACCAAGTATCTGTATAACTAGAATATTTATGTAAACAAATCAACCGCAGTAAGAAATGACTAGATGGGCAGCATCAGAGGAGTAAAGTAAAATCTTACAAGCGAAGTAAGAGGCAATACTAAACTTGAACCTCCCTTCCTGCTCCCTGCACGGACACGCCCGACCCCTCACACCCTGGAAAGAAAGCACACCCTAGGGACGACTCGAGTGTGAGAGTTTTTTATTCAATGTGTAAAGGACAGTTTAAAAACAACATGTTAGTAGCACTCTTAGAACATTGGTTTGTTCATCTGACATTTTCTCTACCTTCACCAATTTTCATTACAAAAATCAGAAAAGTAAAAATTCATTACGATATTTGCACAGTGTGACCACTAGTTGCCTAACAAAAGCTAATTTCTATAAAACCATAAACTTAGTGCAGTTTTATTAAGAGAGATCCAAAATTCTCCCAGTGGAGTGGATATACATAGTGGTATACATTTTAAAGCAGAAAACCCCAAAAAACAAAAATGAGGGAGAAAAGAAAATATAAGTCAAAAGTCAGTTAAACATTCTGACCTGGCAGTTCCTACAAACGGTAATTTCCACTACATATAAAGGGAACCGTTATCTGTGGTAAAAAAGTGTAGAGACAAAGCAGGAAAAGCAGAATAATATCACAGGTCAGTCCCGGGCTGCACGTTTTCAATGAAACCCAGGGCAGCGAGCTACAGCTTTAAAGAGGGGGGCCGCTCACACCCCCGAACCACCGTGTGCCTCTAAGCACGGCCTCACCACGTGGCAAGTTGCAAAGTTTCCGTAAAAAGACTTTGAAAAAGACAAATGTTCTTTTCTTCAAGAAATCTTTATAAGGCTGTCCTTTGCATAGGGAAAGAGCTGTCTGCTGTCATAAATTCTCCAGGAGAGAGTAAAAGCAAGCTTTTCAAAAGGACCGTGTGTAAGGAGCTACGTCACCAGACACCTCATTTACTGCCCCAAATTTATGTTGATCAGATAGAATTTAATTTGACTGAAGGAATAATGGCAATTTACGGTGACGATCAATTGAAAAAGAAAACTCTGAGGCTGGCCGGAGAAACACTGAACTCCAGAAGAGGCTCACCCCGCTCCGTGGAAGAAAAAGCCCTACGTGTGCACACGAGAGGGACTCAGGAGGAACTTTCCAAATTAAAGCTTTTTTTTTTTCAGAAAGCTATAGTATAAAACGACAGTACATGTCGTGGCATTCCCTCGAATCGATGCTACATCGGTACCAGATTGGCTGGGGGGGGGGGGGCGGGGGCGCCTCTAGGAGCCGTGGTACAAGTGCATGGCCCCCAGGCCACCGCCGCCGGGCCGCTCCCCCGCCTTGGTGGAGCCGGGGTGCCCCGCCCCGCTGGGGAGCTCGGGGATGCTCTCCGCGGTGTCCCCAAAGCCGTGGTAGTGGCCGTAGTGCAGGCTCTCCTCCACGCCCCCCACCCAGGAAGGCCTGCTAGCTACGCAGCTGCTCGGGCTCCCGTTCAGGTGCAGCGAGCCGCACATCTCCGCGTTCACGCTCGCGGTCCTTTCCGCTTCCTCGGTCCCATTAACAGAGACAGAGCCCTGGCTACTGGGAAAAGGCCGTTCTGGAACTAATCCATTGCTAATTCCATTAGATCCTGTCAAGCACGGGTCACTCCTGCTCTCCATCCCACTGAGCTGTGCCGCGGAGGGGAAGTCCAAGTGTCCATTGATGGCACATCCGTTTGTCAATGTATTCAACACGGAGCTACTGTTTTTCACATCTGCATCGAGAAATACACCTGTCACCAAAATTCAGAACCAGAGGGGGAGGAGAAAGTGTAAAAATGTTTCACTGGTGCTACAATTGTAAAGTGTTTATTTAGCTTTTGTTTTTTCTCTTAAGCAAACCGGTTCCTTGCGCTGAAGTAGAAAACTGTGCCCTGGCGGATTTAAAAATAGAACACAACAGTGCCACTTGCCTGGTACGACAGGAAACATTTATGAATTTCAGTAGCATCGAGCAGCTGAATTTAAAAACCCAAGCTGACAAATAACACGGCAGGTCAAATGCCAGCGGCGCTGACACGCTGTCAAAAAAACTGCTCTGGTTTTAAGACGACTTTCAGGAAGAAGTTTTAAAAATCACCAGTGAAAGAAGTCCAACAGAACTGAATGTAAGGATTTCCAAGGAGCTAAAATAAAACCGCAAACCTCTGCAGGAAGGGAGAAAGAGCAGGTGCGTGAAGCCGGGGCCGGGGCAGCTCCCGGGCCCAGGCGAGGCAGCGGTGCACAGCTCCTCGCAGGCCGCCCGCCTCTCCAGCCAGGGAGGCGGACGCAGGTCCCGTCTCAGCGCCACGCGCATCCACGTGGCACTTCTGCGAGATGCCACACGGTGGCGAAGGGAGAACGAGACGCTAAGTGCTGTCCCGCGTCCGGCCGCCCTGGGGCCAGCGGCACATCGGCACACGGGCACCGACACGGGCACACGTGGGCTCCTCCGAGTTCAGCACGGAGAGGGACAGCGGGGGCCAAGGCTTCACCTAACTAGACAGGAGGAGGGTGTCTTATGGGGGGTGGGGTGGGGGCAAAAAGAGTCCATCAAGACACGTGCGCGCCCACGGGGAGAGCCAGTACAAGGTGCTGTTCGGTACGATGAGACTCGAGATCACCATTCACGCTCACGAGGACTCGCTCAACAGGGGATCCTCTACGATCAGGTCTTGCTTGTAATATTGAACTTAATCTCAATGGTCTGAGCTATTAAAGCCCGGTATTAAATACGGAGGAGGAGTGGGGCCCCACCACCTTCCCCACGAGGACACGTTCCTGCCCCCATGGGGGTCGCCGTCCGCCTCTGACTGGCACCTGGACACGGGCTTCTGTATGATCCACAAATCTTCTCGCCAACAACAAATCGCGGCTTGTTCAGTGAACAAAAACACCTTCCAAACATTCCATTGACCATCCATTTTTCTGGCAGTTTAAGTGATAATCACAGTTTAGTAACTGCTATAAACTCTTCAGAGGATAAGGGATTGTTTTCAAATTAAATGGCAGCTTCTCTGTTTAGTAAACACTGAAGGCCAGAGAACTAGTGTCTCAAGAACCTAACATGAGGCAGAATAAAAAGAAATGAAACAAGCTATTCCCAGAGAAACGTGTGTATCAATTATTTTTTCAAAATTAATGCACAGATGACGTTTCCTGGGTGGTCAAACTCCGGACTATGATGGCAACCTTGACCGTTATTAGGACAAATAACTATGCCCTTTTCACAAAGACGGACAGTCCATTTCCAGGTGACTGACCTGAAAAGGTAAATGAGCAGGACCTTGGAAATTCGAGTTACCCAGACTCACTGTTTCCACGTAGCGTTCACCGTGTGCACACGTGTACTCGTGCAAATGTGCATGCTTGTGTGGTTCTCTTTGGTGCCCCGTTAATGTAAATGAGCTCCATTATGCAATCTCAAAATCAAGGCTGGCTGATAACCTCACGTCGTCACGGAAAACCTAATAAAACTGAGCATGAAACCAGCGGCTGCCCCGGGGACTGGCTGAGCCGTGGCCCCGTGTGACCTGCTGGCTGTCCTCACTTAGCTCCAGGCGACCTCAGGGCCCGCCCTCCTGCTCCCTGTGCCCCCCCGCCGGGGGGAGGGGGGCTCCCTGGCGGTCTAGAACACTGTGCACGTGCAGGCGGCCAGTGCTGGAAGCGAGATGATGGGGGTCGTGATATCTGTGCCACGGGATGAGCTGGGGGCCTTTTCAACTTACGTCCACGCTTGGTATTAAATTCAGCCCGAAAACCCAGGGAATTAGTGCTTGCAGACTGAAGAGTGCTGACTTCTGCCTTTTTACAAGCATGTGGCAATGCCGTTTATTTATTTTATTTTTTTTAAAGCTTTGAGTTTTGTTATTTGTCTTTAGCCAAGGTCTTTAAATGTATTATCTAATCAAAATTTCCCTTAGAAAAATCTACCCATTTAATTCTTTGGCAAAAAGGCGACTCCACCAGTAACAACCCTGTAGCTTCTAGAAAGATATGCACATTTCCCTTTCATTTTAGTAAACAGACATGACTTCTTCGTGTGCGTCTGGGAGATGGTACACATAATCTCATTCCCCACTGAAGAATTTAGCACAGAGATATAATAATAAAGCCTTAAAAGCAAACAAACAAACCAGTATCTATTTCTAAATATACCAACACAGTGGGAGAATGGCTAAAATGTGTTCAGGGTCACCCGAAGGATGGCAGAGTGAAGTGTTAACTAAAAGGAAATAACCTTTAGAAATTCTAAATGCTAAAAAGAAACGGAGCCTTCGACCTTTAAAAGCTGAAAACGACTATCAACTGTTGGAACCGATGAACACTTTTTGGCATGTGGAACGTGCTCCGGGAGGCGCGGCGCCCTAGCCCAGGCGCGGCGAGCCGGAGCGTCCACACCGCCATGGACGGATACGAGTCAGAACCGCGCACTGGCTAGAGCTCCGTGTCTACGGCAAGGCATCCTTCTCGCTCTTTATTGCGCTGGAATTACTAGCAACGGATGCTCATTGGCGTGTCACCCAAAGGTCGCGTGTCAGAGAGGGAAGCATGCAGAACCCAGGAGTAAACAAGGCACGTCAAGTCAAAGTTTCAAATCAAAACGGGAAGATTGCACTTACATCTTGCACATCTATACAACACGCACCCCAAACACCCGTACCCTTGTTATCTACAAACTTGCCCAAGATAATGCAAACTGCAGCAGAACATTCTTTAAAACGCTGGACAACAGAGTGTAAACGTCGTGGGGGAAACCATGTTAGAAATAGTATGCATACTGGTTCTTGCAACGACACGGGGTCTGCATTGCTGAAACAGTATATATTTCTATTTCTTTTGGTCCAACAGAACCACCCTCCTGCAGGGTGGTGTCTTCGACCACGGGGCTGTTGCCGCAGCTAACAGGAAACTGTCCACCCCCACCTGTTACGGTAGCACACTCTCTGTCGACGAGCATTTTGTCCGCATCGTCTTCGGTCTCACCGTTCTCCAGCGGCGCGCCGTAGCCCGGGCTCGGAGCTGCACAGAACACAAAGGCAATTTTAGATCCCCGGGCCTCCGAGACAACGGTGTGCCAATCCTGTGGCCTCAGGAGCACTAGCTGCTGTGAAACTGTCGAGCAGCTTGGTAACCTGCAGATTAGGGACAAGCCGAGTACCCTCCCGGGAAACCTGCTTTACCACAATAACCAAAACCTTTCCTCGGTTTCAATGAAAAGTCACAGGACTTGAGACATTCATGCTACACATACTCTATGGTGTGAATTTTCCTGAAGGCTGTCGCCTGGACAAAATAAAACAGCTGTACAACCCAGAGATGTTTCTGCACAGGTTTTTAAGGTCAGCATGCTCTATTATGCCCCCAACTGTTCTTTCGGTTGTTTTGCATAAATATTAAGGTAATTCTTGAATAGAATCAACCATGAAAACCGTCCTCAAATTTCAAAAGAAATCACCGATTTCAGTAGCAGAAAAGCAGGTAAAAGCCCAGACTCAACAGCGCCCTGGTGAGGCAGAGGCCTGCGCACCAGCACGTGGGAAAACGGGAGACAAACCTTCAAAGCCTTCGTTCTAAGATATTTGGAGCGGAAGTTACAAATGCACGCTCCTCAGGAAATGATCGTTCTCTGCGTCTTGGAGAAAACCCAGCGTGCTCGTTTAATCGTGTTTCCTCCAAGGATCACCTTTGCGCACTTTCCCTAGGAACCCCTTCGACGGGAGCAGCTCACGGTCACTGCGTATTTGGCTTTCTAGTCTTCATAGGCATGCGTGGTTACAAAAATGGATCCCAAAGTCACTTTCATGCCTTGCTTTTTTATTCATTTACCATGGCATGAACGCATCTCAACCACTCAGTTCAAAAGAATCCTTTAAAGTTGAACAGTAATCCAGTGTATGGCTGGGTGTATTCACCCGCCACCAAATCCCCACCGCCATCTGGCTTTGCTTCAGTTTTCTTTCCTATCATGAACACCATAATCAACATGTTTATACACACAGCTTTGTGTCCATTTCTGGTTCTTTAGTCAGAGAAATACTGAGAATTATTGAGTTAATGGATATACAACAAATAATAACTTTCAGAGCTACATATTTCTTTCAAATAAACATTTGAAAACAGACATGAACTCTGCAGCTCTAATTACTTCTAATTCTAGAGGCACATGAGTCATTTTCAATATACATAAAAGGAATGAGCATCAGGGCACGTGGGGGGCTCAGTTGGTTAAGCATCTGACTTCAGCTCAGGTCACGATCTTGGGGTCTGTGGATTGGAACCCCGTGTTGGACTCTGTGCTGACAGCTCAGAGCCTGCAGCCTGCTACGGATTCTGTGTCTCCCCTGCTCTCTGCCCCTCCCCTGCTCATGCTGTCTCTCAAAAATGAATATTGAAAAAAAAAAAAAAAGGAATGAGCATCAAGGTGCCCGGGTGGCTCAACGGGTTAAGCGTCCAACTTCGGCTCAGGTCATGATCTGATCTGAGTTGGAGCCCTGCATCGGACTGTGCTGACAGCTCAGAGCCTGGAGCCTGCTTGGGATTCTCTCTCCCTCTCTTCTCTGCCCCTCCCCTGCTCACTCTCTCTCTCTCAAAAATGAGTAAACAGTACAAAACAAGGAATGAGCAGACCATGCCTGGATTCTAACTAACTTTAACCCACACCGTGGAGACCAAAGGTAATAACGTATAGTCTTCAGGAAAGAAAAGCACGTGTTCTGAATGGTATGTGGGAAAAACAAAGTGAATGGTTTGTTTGTGTAGCTGGGAAAAAACCGGGGTGTGAATGGGTATAGGGCCAAGAGCCCCCCACAACAGAGGTGCCTGCAAACCAGAGGCGTTAAACCCTGGGTTTCCGTCTTTCCTGCTAGAGCTTCCCCTCCTCCACAGGCCCGCGTCAGGGACAGGCCCGGCTCTGTCTTCACTGTGAAACAAGGTACTTCCAAGAAATCAGCAGTAAACAGGGCGTCTTAAAGAGTGGGGTGGGCGGGCCCGGGCATCCCAGGTGCAGGCTGACCAAGTCCTCATGACCTCCAGGGAGGCGGCCGCCAGTCACTCCAGGGAAAGGAGCCTGCGGTCGGCGGGCTCTGCCCCTCGCCCTCCTGCCAGGCAGGCGGTCAGGCGGCTTGCGGAGAACCGTGGGGGCCAGCACGGCAAAGCCACGGGGGTCCCTGCAAACAGGAAGGTTCCGCCGGACACGGCACAGCCTCCGGTATGCACACGGGTCATGTCCGCTTTTCAGAATTCAGGTGCCAGCGTTCTTCAGGAAAAGTGACAACTAGGCTCTCTGTGCAATTTCACACCTCCGAGCAGCAGGTTAAAAAGAAAATAACTGACAGAGGACAAAAAAATAAAAAAGTGCTTCATAAAAGCAGGGAAATTTGTCTCCTCATCCCCTAAGCCCAGAGCCCGGAAGAGCCCACTGTGAAGCCTGAAACGGCCCCGACACAGATATCAAACCAAAGGTCTTAAGAGTGACGACTACCCGGTAACGAAACTGGCAGAGTCCCCTCCAGGGAAGACTGGCTACCAATGGAGTGGGACACGGGGGCAGGCCTGCCACTAGGGGGCCGGAGGAGCCGCTGGCAAAGCACTCTGGGGACATCCGCGGCAACACTGTCTGGGGGGGGCGGGGCCCCATGCCAGTTCAGAGACCCGCGCCCTGCGCCAGGGACTCCTGTCCCGCCTCGCAGGGGTGCCACCTGTGAATGCGGACAGCGCCTCATTAACAGAACAGAAGAACATGAAACAGACCAAAGGCTTCCGTGTCTTAGTAGCGAAGGAAACTCTTTGATGTGGCAAGCAGGTGCCGATGCAGCCAGCCTACAATTTTCTTTCTCTATAGACGGGCAATTTTTGTAGTGCATTGTTCCCATAAAATATCTGCAAGGATTTTTAACTCCTTGGCTGATCCAGCTGGCCCAGAACTCCGGGTAATACTTTTATACTTGTTATTTCTAGCACCTGTAAATAGGATGTGCTTAATTACTCAGAGGGAGGCATTAAACTTGCAATTTACTTTTTAAAGCTGTATTTTAAAAATCATGATGTTAATACTGGCCTCTCAGAATGTTAAGAACATTGGATCTGTCTTGACTCCTTTCTCCCACACACACCCACTTGCACGTCTTTGCCAAAGGAACCAATGAAATATTTCACATCGTATCTGAGAAAGGTGGACTCACAGAGATTTCAGAAGAACAAAACTGTCTTCTTTCCAAGTTACCAATTTCGATCTTATTTACACTTTGGAAAAGAAGAGCCTTCCCTTCCATTTTCCTATTGACCTCCACAGTTAGAAGGAAAAAAATCAATGTCCTGACCTTTTACTTGGCCAAAGCAGGCATTTGAGAAGATTCTAGAACATGTTAGATATTGAATAGTTGTGACAGAAAACTAGTTAGGATTGACTCAGAACAAACCCTCGCAGCTACCTTCCTGCGCAAGTCATAACCAAGTGTGACCATTGTGCGAACACAGAAATCTGCCTCTGTACTTCCACCTAAAATCCCTAAAACCAGTTCTTAGCAAGACTCTGAACTACAGGTTTATTTTAGGACCAAGCTGTTTGAAAACACGGGAAAGATCCTATACTTGGCTTTCAGAAGCCAGGCAACATCTGTCCGCTGCGTAACAGCAGTTGCGCCATCGAGGAGGCTGCTTTCTGTGCTGTGAAGTCAGGCAGGTGCACACTTACTGTACCACCAGCCTGCCGCTCACACGGATGAGTGGGGCGTGCATACAAGATTTTTTTAAAGTAAGCTCTGGACCGAACATGGGGCTCGAACTCACAAGCCCAGAGATCAAGAGCCACACGCTCCATGGACTGAGCCAGCCAGGTACCACCAAAAACAAGATTTCAATTCCCCAAGGACACTTGAGGACTTACCTAGGGCTCACAAAAAATAAGCCTAACCAGTCTTAGTTTACCTTCAAAAGTGGAGAAACCTCTTAAAAGGCAAAAATCAATCTGTATGGTCACATACTTTTTAAGATGTGAGTGCTCCAGGGGCACCTGGGTGGCTCGGCCAGTTGAGCGTGTGACTTCGGCTCAGGTCGTGATCTCACAGTTTGTGAGTTCGAGCCCTGTGTAGGGCTCCGTGCTGACAGCTCAGAGCCTGGAGCTGCTTCGGATTCTGTGTCTGCCTCTCTCCCTGCCTCTCCCCTGTTCACGCTCTGTCTCTCAAAAATAAACATTAAAAAAACCAGTGAGTGCTCCAGCTGGCTAGCGGGGCGCTAACTCCACACACCCTCCCCACAGCTGAAGCCACCCAAGGTGCAAACCTGGCCAAGCAGTTCACACAGCGGACGTCTGTGCGGCTGGCGACAGGGCACAGACTCGTGGTCTCCTTCCCTCTGTGCACCTTTAGGGGCCAGTGAGGGGGGTCCCCGGCCCAGCTGACTGCCCTGCGGTCCCCTGGTCGTGAGAGCCAGCGCTGACCACCGGGGAAGCCAGCAGTCCCCTTGAACGAAGCCAGGAAGGAAATGTCCCCTGGGCTTTCCTACCAGCCCTAATTAATCAGAACTATCCTGGACTCAACGACAGAGCACATTTTACTCAAATAATTACTTTTTAAAAGAAAGGTCCCATTAACATCAGAGCAGTACTAAGGCCGAAGTGAAGGTGCTTCTACTGTGAGGTGACCTTCCAGGGGACTCTGGCTCCTGCCTTGGCCCCAAGTGTGGGGGAAAGTCAGGAGGGCAGGGCAGCGGAGATGCCAAGGGCACAGAGCAGCAGTGATGGTTCCGGAAACACTCAGGCGGGACTTGGGATTTTGTTAAAAGGACAGGGAAGGGAAGGTGCATGGAAGAGACCGCTCTGAAGAAGGTGCGCCAGGACGGAGTCCCGCTGGTGCCTGCCGCAGCCGCTACACCCTCCGGGAACAGACGAGGCTCATGAGGTCTGGACTCGAGAGTGCACAGGACAGAAACCTCCTGGTGTTGAAGTGTGGCGCACTCACGTTATAGGTACGTGAGGCTGTCTTTAGGGACTACGACAAAACCATCAGTTGTTATTCAAACAAGCGTCCTCTTCCTCCGGTCAAATAATTAAGAAAAAGTAGTCCTTTTCTGCAAACATGAGAAGGCTTAGCGCACCTCAAGTAGTGTATGTACGGGACACAAAAATCAAACGTGGAGGAAGCAAATTACAAATTTACTCCTGGGGAGGCTCTGATTTCCTGAATCTCAGGCTCTAATTACTTAGATGTATCATTTAACAGAAATCACATCCACTCTCCTTACCCTGCTCCCCGTCTTTGAGTGTGGTCAAGACAATCCCATCTTTGAGTGTGGTTAAGACGAATAATTAAGAATAGCAGGTGGAGATTCTTTAATGCTAAGTTCACCTTGGGCACCAGTGTACTGAGAAACTTCTCACTGCTGATTTTTTAAAACTAGACTCCATACCCAATGCAGGGCTCGAACTCATGACCCCCCAGATCAAGAGTTGCATGCTCTACCGACTGAGCCAGCCAGGGGACACCTCACTGATATTTTAAACTAAGTCACAGTACTGTAGATATTCTTCCTAAAACGTATTTTTATAAATTACTTATATGAGACTCCAAAATCAATAATATATCTTTGATTAAAAAACAACCGTGAAGTCAACTTAACCAGAGATCTGGTATCACTATGGCCTATTTCCTACAGCCACAGTTTCTAATTATAAAATCCTGGGCTCCTGGGCCAGTGTACAACTCACACTGCCCCGTCCGACTAAGACTCCGGGACTGCACCCAAAACACTTCTGATTAAAACGAGGTGGAGGCTTCTCTCCCGGGTGGGACTGGCATTCTCTTCCAACCAGTCTCCCTGGTAGCTGAGCCGAGTTTCCGAGGACTACACGCACACGAGTCACTATCACAGAGCGTTATTCCTGAAGATTAACAGAAATGCTAACAGACCTGAACCACTAGAGCAGCTGTAACTGAAGGCCACTGTCACTCCATCTTGAGCAAATGGTTGATAAATGGAGGGAATACCTCAAAACCCACTTGCACTGATGTTTCCTTACAGGACCCCAAATGAACAAAATCCCTTTTAATGCCAAATACTTTTAATCAAAATTGGCTGTTTTAAGTAATTCTGGATTTTACTTCACCCTCCGGGTTCATGCCACATGGACTCAGCCTAGGTCTGTGCTCTGCGCAGTGGACGCTGGCATGGACGGCGGATAGTGGGCACTTCCGCTGGAAGTGCCTTCGTCCTGCACCTGCTCCCACAGGGCAAGTGTTTGTACTCAAGCAAGACGGAAAGGCTGAGGCATTCTTAATCCAAGTCCTTTTCCATCAGTGATCTCCAAGGGAAAATCACACCAATAACCTTAAAATATTTGAAAATTGTTTATTGAAAGCAGAGACAGAGGCTACTTTCAGACTCAGGATTCCAAAGTTAAAAAAAAAAAAAAGTTAAAAAATAAAATTCACAAGGCACATCTTTAAAAGCTGGCTTAGCCAGAAAAGCTTCTGGAAGTACCTCCTTTTGTGAACATAGATTGCACTCTAAAAACACTAGTATGTGTAATTCTTAAGCCATAGAAAGACAGAATGGACTGAATTTTATTAATAAGGTCCAAGCTATGCATTTATACAGCCAAGATACTGGCACCTATTTAGAAACAAAGAAAAAAGAAAAAAGCAGCAGCCAGACTTGTACTGGGAGGAAAGAAGGAGACAATTTTAACTATTTTAAATACTTGTGCATGTGAAATTATTGAAGAGTATTTTATATGCATGCATTACTTATAGAAAAAAACACTTATTTTTACTCTGGCATGAGAATCAAGAACTTGTCTACAAAATGAATAATTCAGAGTGAGCAAAAACTTAAGCTCACACATTTAAAGAGCAAATCAAAACAAGATGCCCGAAATTAAATGAAAATTAACTAAGGCAACACATCTTGAGTCGCATACCAAAACACGATCAAAGAATGGAAATAGCTATATGGCTACTGAAGGCAAAAAGACTTCATTTAGAAAATCCAGGCAGTTGGGGGAAAGTCTTTAGTAACTGAGACCCCTGTTCACAGCGAGTATGTAACAATGAAATGAAAAAAAAAAAAAAATCCATCTCTTCTCCCAGAGAAAAGGAGACAGGCCAGAGCTGGCATGGGACGGAGTCACCCGTCTGCGCTCACAGGCAGAAATCCACGCACACACAGGCTCGAGGGACACGTGGGCCACCCTCAGGCTGCCCGCCGCCCAGAGGGCACCCTGCTGAGACGCGCGCCAGGAGCTGCGAAGTCGGGGCATCTGGAGTCGAGCTGAGATCTCTCCTGCAGTGGTGACAGAACAGGAGCATTTCGTGGGGGTGCAGCAGAGCCTGACGGGAGGGGCGGGGGGGCACACCCTGGAAACACCAGGCTCCAGCCGCACCTGCCTCCGGGCTGGCACCCGGGGAGCAGCAGGGACAGCGGTTCGGGAAAGCCGCACGGGGAGCTTGAGGGGCAAAGCGTGAGCCTCTAACCCTGGTCAACCAAAACGAGTCCATGTCTGGAGGAGGGAAATAAAATCCCCTGAACATCGCCATGATTCTTCAAACCCACCACATGCTTGGAAACAAGGTTTAGGAAACTTAAATTCAAGTTTCAGGAATCCTGAAAGTCTTTTCAGGATACGTCAACGAGAGACGGCCAACTCAGCCGACCTGAAAACCCGGGGCCTGGCTTTACAAACTCCTCCAGGACATTCTGAGGCTTAGTAGAATCTCAAGTGACGTCCCCTCAGTACTAAACAAAACTGAACATTTACCCTCTGTGACTCTCGTAGGAGGGCATAGGGAAGCTAACACTTTATATCACTCCAAAATATTAAGCCAGTCAATTGAACAGAAAGAAAAGGGCTATTTTTAAAAAGTGGACGCTCTTAAAGAGCTTTTAAAACACATTAGAAAAATATATTGGAACATGGCACAAGTAAATGACAACACCGGACAACACTTCTTCACCATTAAGAAAACACCACTTCTGATGTTTAGACACACCTTCATGTTGTGCTTAGGACTGTTACAGTACCTTACTAGAAAGTACTATATAACTTATAAAAGTTATGAATTTGGTAAAATATTTAAGTTCATGCATTCATTTCTACAAAAAAGTCACAATTCACAAGTATTTAAAAGTAGAGAATACAATTTTATCGGCCTTATAATAATAATAATAATAATAAACTGTTTTAATCTGGATACACTCCAGCTAAACTAAAAAGGTGCAGGATCGTATGCTGACTAACCCTAACCCTAACCCTAACCCACCTCAAATTCAGTCAACGAAGACCTCCAGCCACTCAGGCTTTCCTCAGGCTACACTTGCAGAGCTGATCTGTTTCTAGTCAAAGGACATAACTCTGTACTTATGCTCAGCAAATCTTATCTAAGTTCATAATTTCAAGGTGACTACTCGCTGCCATCTCTAAACCTCTCAGTTCATTAAATGTTCTTGCCAACCTAGGAGTCTGTCGTGTAAAATACCTTACACGCAGGTATATGCAACGATTTCTTCCCTAGACCAAGTGGAAGTTTCTGCAGCTCACAGGGACTGGGTGACTGCCTATCTGCAAACTCCAAAGTCATCTGAAGACGGAAAGGTGGGAGAAAGTTAAAACTAAGATAACTTACCTTAGACTCTCCTCCTCACCATCCACCTGACGCCCCAGGTCTTGCTGTGACACACACACCACCCTGCGGGGTGTGGGCAACAGCTGAGGCCAGAGCACAGCGCGGGTGGAGCGGGGTGGCAGACCTTTACCTGCCTAGAGGCCAAACTGGGTTTTGCTACCAGACCAACAATGCTATTCACAAGCTCAGGAATGTTTCATAGGAAATTTAAAAAAAAAAAAAAATCAGGCACAGTGGCAGGTTTTTTTAATAGTTATATTTCAAACAGGTACAGGAAACGAGAAAAACCTTTCTAACTCATGGCGGGAAAGCCTGGGTGCGCGGAGAGTTACACGGGCACGCTCACACCTGCGCTGTCGGCATCCCCCGCTTATCCGCTCACGGGAAGACCACCACCATTGCACCAGGACCCTCGGGGCGCACCGCCCTCAGGTGAAGGTCTCATCTGGAAGGCGCTTCCGGCCAGAAAAAAGAAAACATGTCACAGAAAGGAAGAGAGTCTGCCCCCCTCACCCACCAAGGGGTCTCACCTTCGGTCCTAGCCTTCTTCACTCCAAAGGGTTCCGGGTCTTCCAGGCATCTCTTGCGATGTGCTCCCACACTAGTAAGATTAGGAAATATGCTCTGGTGGCCCCCATTTAAGGTGCCGTTATTACAGAAACGGTTCAGATGACAATTCTGCAGGTTCAAGAGAAACTGGGTGCACTCGCGGAAACCCTGGGTTTGAGCAATGTCTGCTGCAGTCAGGCCACTGGCATTTCTCAGGCTGCGTGACACAAAAACACTGAGTTACACCCCGTCGGCGTCCTCACCCGCTCTCTCCTCCTGCTCCTGACTGACTATCTCAAGGGGACAGCGGGAGAACGCGGACTACAGGGAGCTCCTCGCCCCGGCTGCATAACTAACTTCGCTCCTAAGCACGTCTGATTACGAAGCGAGACCTGGGAGCCAGGCGTCTCAAAATCAATGCGCTAAACTTTAAAAAGGCATCTTCCTACTCAACTTCTCAGAATCATTTTTCACGTTAGTCTGAAGAACCTAAATTTATGTCAACTTCAGACTTAACCTGAAGCAGAATTCTGTATTATCTTAAGTTTAATAATCAATTCCTTTAGCTTCAGTAAAATCATAACAAACAAACATGTACTGAAATTGTCCATGGCATTCATAACAATCGGCTTCCTCAAAACAGCGCACCGACAAGCCAGATTTCATGCTAACGTGTGACACCGTAAGTGGAAATTTAGAAGGCTGTCCTGACACTCAAATCACTTCCCAGGGGCTGGAGAGCCGAAACGCTAAGTCCCCGTGTATCTCACGTCGGTTTCCGGCCCTGCCCGGGGGCTCCAGGAGCACCTTGCGTGGGTGTCCTGGAGCGTGCACACGGGCGTCTCCCGCAGGAAGCCCTCCGAAGGGTCCACGGCCTCGCTCACAGTGGGGGGCGGGGTCTTCCACAGCAGCTACGTCAGACTCAAGTAGGAAGTGGTGGCAGAGTGTCACGTGAACGACCTCAATGACACAAATAGGAAGGAACCACCTGTGAAGCTCAATTAGGAAAGAATAAATATTAAAGGCACAAAAGCAACTCCCTGCTGAAGTTCCCCCGAAAGACAAGAAAACATCTGCTCTGTGGAGTCAATCTATAAACAACTGAAGCAGGCCCACAAACTGAGCACAGGGGCCCCTGCACCTGCTCCGCAAAGCGAGGCCCCCGACCCAGCATAGCCGCGGCCTGGTGCGTGAGGCTTGCTTCCTGGGCGAACGTCCATGCAGACACAGCCGAGTAAAAACTACAGAGCAGGGGCAGATAGGGGTTTCCCTTGAGCCTTGTACTCACATTTCCAGCCATCCTATTCCCAAAGCTCCCACCTCAGAAATGAAAAAATCTGTCTATTCTGGAATCATAAAACCTGTCTCCACTCTAAAGCAGATTAAGAGATGCATTACACAGTTTGAAGAAACGTGAAAGCCCAGACTTGGGTTGACCAGAAATAAAAGGCACGTGACTTGAGAATCCCAGAACCATCAATGTTTTCTTAAAAGTGTGTAAGGCAACTGTGTGCAGACTAATGGGGACTAAAACTGAGTTGATTTCATGGCTATAAATTCTGATGGAGTCTTATTCTACAATTTGGTACTATTTTAATATATGAAGTAAACAGAAAGGAAACGCCAAAGTTGGGACACACATATAAAATGAGCATATGCTTGGTTTTTGAAATGTTATGGATGTAACAACATTAAAGTGAGTGTTCAGCTGGTTTTTTGAACTGGGGTATTTCGTTTCCAGGAGCTATCCCAAGTATAGATAGTCCAAAAGGGTCTACTCTATCAAAAATGTGAACAGAATAGGCAGCCATGTGAAAAAAACATCTAACTCCTCAAAATTTGAAAGAACGAAGACCTATAACATACCCCAGTTTATAAAATGATCGCTCCTGTAAAGAAATATAACTTGCTCTCCAAAATCACGTACAGAAATGAGAAGCTGCCTGAAATCAGTACAAGTGAAGTCAGCAGGGAAGACTGAAGAACAGCACGCTCGTTTCTGAACGGCTTTGCCTAACTTTCATGGAGGAAAGCAGAGATGCTTAAGGAGACGCTAACGTTCCCCGTCACTGAAGAGAAGAATTTCCAAAACACACTCAATGCCTTTGCTTTCCACTCAGAAACGGAACACTAGACTGGACTAGGGTTGGAATAGCAAGTTTACTGCTTTCCCGAGGAAAGAGAACCTTCAAGAAAAATAAGCAAAAAATCAGCACCGACATCCAGGGAGGAGACTAAGGGGCTTCAGGTGCCTGAGAGCGGGGGTGGGGTGGGGGGGGCACGTGGAGGCCCGAGGCAGGAAGGCACGGTCCCCTCCCACCCCCCCATCCAAACACAGTGGAACACCCGTGCACTGCGTTTCCGGACAGTAGGAGGGATTGCCTTCAAAACTCAAAAGCACCGCAGCCAACTCATGCCACGAGCTCCCCTCGTGCGGACCAAGCAGGGAAGGACCGATAGCCACAGGTGGGGACTGATGCTGGTCCCGCACACACCTCGGTGGGACCAGGGGCTGGAGCGATGGGAAAGGGAGAGGAGACTTGCTAGAAGACACAGGGACAGAATCTGTCTGTGGCTGTGGAAGAACGACTGGGAGAGAACAATTTGGGCACGATCCCTATACTATCGCCAGAAATGGGGACATTCACCATCTTTTCTTGTTTTCCAGTGAGCTACAGAAGATTTCAACTACAGCAGACCCTTGGACAATGAGGGGGTGGGGCACCACCCCCCTGTGCAGTCAAAAACCCACCAATAACTCTGACTCCCCCAAAATGTATAACTACTGATAACCTACTGCTGTCCAGAAGCCTTACTGAAAACATGAAGAGGTGATGAACGCATATTTTTTTAAACTTTTAAAAAATGTTTTGTTTATTTCTGAGAGAGACAGAGACACAGCATGAGCAGGGGAGGGGCAGAGAGAGAGGGAGACACAGAACGTGAAGCAGGCTCCAGGCTCCGAGCTGTCAGCACAGAGCCCGACGTGGGGCTCGAACCCACGAACTGTGAGATCATGACTCTGAGCGGAGTCAGACGCTTAACTGCTGAGCCACCCAGGTACCCCGATGAACACATATTTTATATGTGATGTGTATTGTGCACCGTATTCTTACCATAAAGCCAGAAAAAAGAAACTGTTATTCAGGAAATCGTAAGGAAAATACATGTACACTACATACCGTATTTATCAAAAACAAATCCACGTATGAAGAGACATGAAAAGTTCAAGGGCCAACTGTATACTCCTTCTTCTGTCACCAAAAACTGAATGTACACAACGCATAGTTTATTTAACAGCACTTCTATTCCTTTCAGGCAAAAGGACCCGTTAAGACCCAAGCCTGGCACCCAACAGGGTCCCCCATTCTCCCGCCTTCACCCTCTCATTCTCTACTCTGCCAAATGCTCAAGTCCTCAGTTCTGCTCTGGCTACACTGAAAAGCATGGCTGCTCCACGGCAGCATTTACACCGCACCAACTGGCTGGGAAGGGACACGGGCTTCCTGATCCTGGGCAGGCGCCGTGCTGTTCAGCAGGCTCTAAGGCCACTCCCTTGCTCACAACTACTCAGGCCAGAACGCAGCCTCGGACAATATGTAAACAATAGAGCACGGCTATGTTCTAGGGAGTTTTCACTGATGGACGTTACGATCAGAATCTCATAATTTTAACGTGTTGCAGAATAATGGGTCTTCTCCTGATTTTTGTTCAACCGCTTAAAAATGTAAAAATCATTCTTAGCTTATGGGCCATATAAAAACTAGCAGCACACAAGGTGTGCTGAATAACATTTAACCAGCAATTTTTAGAAACCATATCTGCCTGTGGTTTCCTCTAAATCGTTTTTCCAATAATTTTATGTACTATTCAGACAAATGAAAAAATTTTTTTAAAAAGTTTCCAAGTCGATTAAACCACAAAATGTCAAAGGGAACCTTTAAGAGCGCGTGGAAGCCCAAGAGCAGGTGGGAAAATGATCTCTGATGCTCTGTTCCAAGTCTAGTGTCTCACGATCAGCCAACACGCTTGTCAGGAGGAGGCGAAAACTGTCTTTGTAAGTCTGAATTCCTTGAGCCACGATTTTATAGCTTAATAAGCAGACGGAACTTTCACACGTCCTACAGAGGCTGAAACTCACAAGGGTTTCCGTCAAAGATTAAAGTAAAAGATCACTAAATGGAAGAGTTTTCAAAACCTGAACTTTTTAAATTTTTTTAATGTTTTATTTATTTCTGAGAGAGAGAGAGAGAGACAGTGTGAGTAGGAGAAGGTCAGAGAGGGAGGGAGACACAGAATCTGAAACAGGCTCCAGGCTCTGAACTGGCTGTCAGCACAGAGCCTGATGCGGGGCTCGAACCCACGAACCGTGAGATCATGACCTGAGCCGAAGTCGGACACTTAACCGACTGAGCCACCCAGGCGCCCCTCAAAACCTGAACTTTTAACAAAAGAGGCTCAGGGCTTGAAATCCTTTCCTCATACAAGATTTTTTTCCCTACTTGTTCAAGTTTGCTGTCTCAAGAGTCAAAACAGGAATCCTGGTTAAAAGGTCCCATCAATTTACCAAGCCTTTAAACAGCCATGTTGCAAGTTTATGTACGTATTAAACGTAAGCGCTCTCCGCTATGCTCCTGACTGTCAGTGCGAGCCACGCACAGACCGGGACCGCACATTGGCCGTTTCCACCTCCTGGTGCAGCACTGAATGTGAGCCAAGCCTTCCCCTCCAGTCCATAGGCGCTCAGGCTGCAGGGGGCACAGCCACGCACACCACTGACCCCCATAAGCTCAAGTGAAGTGCTGGCACAAATGTTAATCTGAACAGCCGTCTACACACGAGGCCAAAGGGAGAGTATTACAGTATGCAGAAGAAATGACTTAAACACACTCTCAACAACGGCACCCTGCATGAGCACTGGGGTGGTACTGAAGCACCCATTACTGTTAGCCTCTTCTTGAAACAACACATACTTGAATTTAGCGTCTTGACGTCGAGGCACTTGGGTGAATACAGACTATGTGTGACCTAAAACTCACTTCTATTTCTGAAGACAGAACCTCTGTGGACACACTGTGACGTCATTCTAAAAGCTCTCCGCTCACCCTCTGATGTCCAGCTGAAACATCTCCGGAAATGGGCAGAGATTTTAAAAACTAGACATCAATCAACTCGATGTGCAAACTGGGTCTAGTGTGCTGAACTTTCAACATCGAT